AAACGCCGGCCAATAGACTAGACGTGCTTTCGATGCACCGATCGGTTATAGAGCTCCGGACGTATACCTCTCGGGGCGAGTATTTGTCGCCGAAATAGTCGTTATATTCTTGTCGTATAAATTCTCCCAATTTATACATACGATACTTGCCTTTAGTGGTCAGTTCGCCGATCCCTTCGACCCAATATTTGGTGTTTTTGAAGGGATCGTTGGGCGGAAAACTGGTGGGCGATCTCTCGCCGTGTCTGTGCACTAACTGCAAGAGTTTTAGCGTCGATATGTCGTGATTTGGCCACCGTTTGGACGCATTACTAACGATTAACACAATTGACAATAAAATAAATACGTTTACAATTAAATGCATTTTATTAAATAATTTATTTTTAGTTTTAAAGTTTACTTTAATATAAACTCGTTTTATAATAAAAATATTTATCAAATAATGTTCAAAAGTATTGATAATTTTATCATTTAATGTCCTTTTGTTGAGATAAAAGGTTTAAATACAAACATAATGTTCAAAGTATTTAAAAACATTTTTCTTATCGTAACTTTTATTTATTTTAATTGGCTTTTAATATTTGAATTCCTGTATAATTTCTGTCGATAAACACATGTTTTATATCAATTAAATGTACCTTAAATCTGGTGATTCCCAGAAATTATCAAACTTTAATACAGTACTTTAATACACAAAGGTTTATACTCTAGGTAAGCAATTACGCCATCTTTCTTACCTTTAGTAGAGTGCTACAAAGTTTTTATAGCTATCGTATGGTTTTCCCAAAATGTCAATGCATTGAATCCTTCATATATAATTTATATAAAAACTTTGTAGCACTCTACTCAAGGTAAGAAAGATGGCGTAATTGCTTACCTAGAGTTTATACACATCAAATTTACACAAAGGTTAATTGTTTTAAACATTAATTTATTCTATTTATAAAATATTTGTTAGTTTTGGTTAAGTTTTTGCACTCATAAGTTGGGAACTGATGGCCAGTCGTGTCTTCTTTTGACTCAATTGTCGTCGCAATTGTTACCTGAATCCAATTCCTTGTCATTATACTTTATAATTATATCAAGGTACTTTACCATTAGACAATCCTGTGGTGTATTCCCACACATTGCCTTTTACTTTATAAACAATGTACTAATCACTATCATTAATGAAATTACTTAACCATACATTTAATTAAGATTACTATTTAATCCGGTCTCAAAGTCTAAATTATAAATAAAATAAATTATTTTGTCGCAAAATTATTTTTATTTTAATTAAATTGTAATAAACAATATGTCATTTTAAATTCAATAATCAGTTTTTAATTGTGGAAATGGACGGCCAGTCATGTCTTCATTTGCCGGATTCGTCGTCCGATTTATCGGATTCGTTGTCTGAATCCAATTCCTTGTCATCGTATGGTTTGACAAACTCTTTGCCAACTTTAGACCAATCCATGGATAGAGTGGTGCCTTTGCTTTCAAACATACTCTTATTCATCGCCCGTCGCGTCTCTTCGTCCGCACTCTCACCCAACATCTGTATCAATCGGTTTGGATCCGTATTCTTCTTCATTTCCTCCTTTTCTTCCTCTACGACCTCTTTTGCTATTTTGTCCCAATCTTTGGTGGTCTTGGGTTTCACGGACTTTATAACGTATGGTTTCTCAGCCATTACTACACCTGTTTTACACGTTTTACTAGAAAACTGTTTAGTTTATAATTTGAAGTCTGAAATTCAAATGAGATGTCTATGGATTATACCGTTGTATATATAGTGCTCTTTTATAGTCCGTATGAAAATATTCATTTTTAATCAAATGAACAGAAATCGTGAGTATTTTTGAGTCGTTTGAGTCGATATCTACTTAAAATATCCTACAGTACTAACGATAAGTAAGATATGAATCAAATAATGATTTAATAATTTCCATTCGTATGATTAATAATCATTGATTATTTATGTTTTTAACAGCTAATATGTTGTGGACAATGAGATGTCAGATATTAATATATTTTTTAGGAAAATTAATTATAACTCAAGTGAAAAGCGACTCATTTTTAATCAGAATTTCTTGTGTAACATATTTTTATTTCAATTCAAAGCAAAAGAGGCAAATCATTCAAATTACATATTTTATTCATTAAATATGATTGCAATGAAAGTTACTTAAAACTTTTCTTAACACATTCCTTGTCGTAATCTTCATAAATAAGATGTTTAGTGGACTCAATATAGTCAGTGAGGGGACAGTCGACCAGTTTCTTACAATCGGTGAGCGGCACAGAGTGTGGGATACCTATAATGGCGGAAGTGGTCTCATTCTGGTAGTAAAGGCGGACAAAATAATTATCTGTCGCCGGCTTTTGATGTAATTCAAAGAGTACTGTCGCGGCGTTGGGAGGGATCACGTTATTGAATACATTCAACGATTGCAACAATAGGCTGATGTGCGCCCCGTATGTCGAGTAGACATACATTTTCTTATTGTTGGTCTTCTTTAAGACTTTGTCGAAATTGGTGTTCAATTCGTTGACCAAACCTCCGGCTCTCATGCGTTTGATGATAGGGCTGTCGTAGTCCCAGATCTGTCCCCGGAGTGCCGACTCATACAACTGTGCAACCAGTTTGGTCTCATCCTCTTTACTCCATGTCTTATCCCAATAGTAATTGTTGTCTAATTCAGCCTTCAATGTGTCGTAGAGGTCGAAGGCCTCCCAAATGCCGCCAACGGGTGCGCCGACAGCTTTGGTCATCTGGTCGTACAACGGCTTGTTCTTCGCCTCGAAGTCTTTCACCACTTTCTGGGCGTATATTCTGTTGTATTCAGCGCTCGCAATATCACAGTGTTTGGCCTGCATTTCAACACAATTTATTATCGTTAAGATTTGTTTTAGTCTTAGTTATAATTTTTAGAGGTTTATATTTAATCATATTATGGTTTGAGAATTGATGTGTTTTATACTAAAATCGCCAGAAGTTGCAAACGAATAACATTTAAACATTTGTCGATTCATTTCATTATTATTATTCATGTGAAACCTCTGGTAATAATAGCTTTAATTCAAAAATACAAAATAATAACAACACAACATATAATAACATAGACAACATAACATATAATTAAATACAGACCTGATTGCAGACTAAGTCGGACTTCTCGGGGAGGAATGTCTGGATATTAATTGGTTGCCAAATGTGTCCCAACGAGACGTTGGCGTCACTCCATTGCCAGTCCTTTTGGTTGGGAGGATAGGCTCCGGCCAACAGAGCCGCGCAACTCTCGAAACACCGGTCGGCGGCTGCGCTCCGGGCGTACACCTCTCGGGGCGAGAATTGGTTACCGAAATAAGCGCCGTATTCTTGACGCAAGAATTGTCCCAATTTGAACATGGTGTTTTTGCCCCGGGCTGTCAACTCGCTGAGTCCTTCGGGCCAATACTTGACATTATTGTAGGGATCGTTGGGAGTCCAGCTGACCGGTGCCCTCTCGCCGTGTTTGTGGACCACTTGTAACAGTTTGAGTGTCGAAATGTCATGGTTTGGCCACTTCTGCGACCCATCACTACCGCTCAGACACAGTGTCAGAGCAAAGACTGCCAAAAATATTAGTTTCATTTTTATTGTTTTTAAATAAATTAAAATTAATTAATTGAATTTTATTTAGTTTTATTATTAAAACTGTTTGAAACAATTTGTTGAATAATTTGTTCAAAATTCTGGTCTTTATATAGTGTTTTTGGTTCAATTGTTTTAACCAGTTTTTGTCAACTTATTGACTCTTACTGTGAATTATAATCTAATATTTTAATATTTTTTAGGCAACCAATCCATTGGTCTGTTATCAGACCTCCCGATGACTACTTTGTAAAATGTAAAGTTAATTAACTAAATAAACACTTTGAATATTAAAGTGAGAGTAAAACAAAAATGTAGGTTATTTATCAATTAAATGTACAATTTATTATAGAGTTAAAAATAACTATTTTGTAATTAACAACGACTAATTGATACTTCTGTGGGGTTTAACACTCGGTTTGTATGAAAAATCCTATCATATCTCCAGTAATTGGCGTTTGCATTGAGACAAATCTGTGGGTCATATTAATGGGAGGGCAACACCGGGTGCGCCGACAAACTACAGGGGACTGTCAGTACAGAAAGTACTTTACACTTGGTTTTTATCGGTGTTATAAATCATAAGTAGTCTAAAGAAATAATTATATCAAAAACAGCTCTCATTAACGATTTCCTATCAGCAAAACAGTTGTAATGTGGGTCTAAATTAGTACATAATCTCTACTCAAAAGTGTTTATCACTAAATAGATTGGCACATTTTAAGTGTCAATTAATCAATTTGTTAAATATATAAATAAATGCTTAAAATAGCATAATAATTATTTAGTCATTTACTCAAAATATTACTATTAAACCAATTATTAATTATGAAAGCGTTAATATACTATATATTTGTATTGTTTATATTGATAGCGATTGGGACAGAAGGACAGCACGACGTCTCGACCCTAAAGTTGCTGCAAATAGTGCACCGACACGGAGACAGAGCGCCCGTCAAAAAAATATTGACCAAAAATGATCCGTTCAAAGACGAGGACAAGTATTGGCCGCAAGGCTTTGACGAGTTGACCGCCGAAGGGAAGTATAGGCTCTATAAGTTGGGACAATATTATCGCAACGAATACAACGCCTATTTGGGCGATAAGTACTCCCCGCGAGAGGTATACGTCCGGAGCTCATCGAAGCCCCGGTGTCTGGAGAGTGTGTCGGCGCTGTTGGCCGGCGCTTATCCGCCCCAACAGGCGGACCGCAAGTGGAACCGATGGTCTGACTCCGATTTGGGTGGACTTTGGCAGCCGTTTCCCATCGAGACGTTTATACCGAAGTCAAACGACGATGTATTGGGGGTCAGAGACACTCATTCAACTCATATTATGTTTATTTAAATTTTAAATCAAATGATAATTTTTTGAAACACCCATACATTCAGACCGCCGATTGTAAAACAGCCGACGACGAGATCAGTCGGGTGTACGACAGGGCAGATGTGCGCGCGTTTGAGGCCCAATACCAAGACCTGTACAAGAAGTTGACAAACATCACCGGCAGTCCCATTAAGGATCTGTATTCAGCCGTTGACTTTTACGACACGTTTCAGATCGAGTTCGACAACAAACTGTATTGGGATGCCATCGGCTCCGGACCGGAGGCGCAGGACATCATCAGCCAATTGCACGCACACGAGGTGTTTGGCTATCGGATCGATTGGGACACTCCGGCGCTCAAGAGGTTGAGAGCGGGCGGTATTGTGCGCCTATTGAACGACAACCTCTCGTCGGCGGCCAACAACTCAAACGCATACAAACTATACGTGTATTCAACGCACGGCGAGAATGTCGGCGCCATTATGTCAGCGCTCAATGTCTTCAACGATAATTCGCCGCCATTTGGGACAACACTTCTCTTTGAATTGCATAAGAGTTCCGACTATTTTGTCCGCATTTTCCTTCAAAA